CACGCAGTACTGGATAGCTGATGCTGCAGTATCTGGAGTTGGAGGACACCGCAGTACACTCCACCTTGTTCAGAGTTTCACCCTGTCAAAGCATAAACTGCGTCATTAGGAAATAATCACAATCCACCCAAAACTTTACAAAACTGCTCATTATGAGGTGCTACCACCATCCCTGTGCTGAGTTCCCGAGTCTGTAGACCTGCTGTGCCCATTATGAGGGGCTCCCACCATCCCTGTGCTGAGTTCCCGGGTCAGTACACCTGCTGTGCCCATTATGCGGAGCTCCCACCATCCCTGTGCTGAGTTCCCGGGTCAGTACACCTGCTGTGCCCATTATGCGGAGCTCCCACCATCCCTGTGCTGAGTTCCCGGGTCAGTACACCTGCTGTGCCCATTATGCGGAGCTCCCACCATCCCTGTGCTGAGTTCCCGGGTCAGTACACCTGCTGTGCCCATTATGCGGAGCTCCCACCATCCCTGTGCTGAGTTCCCGGGTCAGTACACCTGCTGTGCCCATTATGCGGAGCTCCCACCATCCCTGTGCTGAGTTCCCGGGTCAGTACACCTGCTGTGCCCATTATGCGGAGCTCCCACCATCCCTGTGCTGAGTTCCCGGGTCAGTACACCTGCTGTGCCCATTATGCGGAGCTCCCACCATCCCTGTGCTGAGTTCCCGAGTCTGTAGACCTGCTGTGCCCATTATGAGGGGCTCCCACCAACCCTGAGCTGAATTCCCGGGTCAGTACACCTGCTGTGCCCATTATGAGGAGCTCCCACCATCCCTGTGCTGAGTTCCTGGGTCTGTACACCTGCTGTGCCCATTATGAGGGGATCCCACCAACCCTGAGCTGAGGGGGGCTTTTACCTTCCCAGACACGCTGGAGAAAAGCAGATTTCGGGAGAACCAAACTTTCATGCTGGTGTTGTAAGAATTCTCTCTCCGGTTCTCCAACTCCACCTCCACCGCCACCTTCCTCTGATCCCTACGGATGATGTGCGGTTGATCACTGGCAGCAAAGGGAACACAGTATGATTTGGATGAATCACGTGACCCCGCAGCGACACAAAGATGAACGCAGAGCTTACAATAACTGCTATGATTGTTAAAGCAGAACCCTGCAGGAAGATAAAATCCATCCTCTGCTGCCGGGGTGCGGTCACACAACAAGCATTCATTCTGAAAAGCGCAATGCCACGGCGCTCACCGTGTGCCAACGATGTCCAACCGAGCTCGCAGAGAGAGGTCAGTGATACACTCATCATCCTCTCCGCAGTCCTTGAAGAACGGGACCTGACAACCAGCACAGGAAAGCACAGGTTGGAAGGTTCAATGGAGTAAGAGTTATACATGTATATAGCAATGACATATACCGCAGTGGTGTACAGAGAACACTGAGCCAGTCACATCAGTCTCTGTACAGAGGAGCTTACACTCTAATGTCCCCTCCCCCCCACAGTCACATCAGTCTCTGTACAGAGGAGCTTACACTCTAATGTCCCC